GATGCAGGTGGGGGCACCTGACCTCCCTAAGGTCTTGTGGAGCTGCTGCAGAAAGCCCCCACGAGAAGGTCCGGGCTGTGGCAGGTGCGCAGGTGAGATGAAAAGGGTGAGAGAAGAATCAGGGGGCGGCTTGGAAGCATGGCAACCCAAGGAAAAAGAGGGAGGGAGCGGGAAGCCAAAAGCCCATGGCTTTTGATATTCCCAGGTAGTCTCCCATCCACGTTATGGCCAGGCCCGACCCTACATAGCTTTCAGGATCTGGGTGGTATTGCCTTAGACGCTGGCAGAAGGCATTGACAGCCTGAACACCTACCGAGGTTCTTCAGCAGCTCCCATGAGAAGGACTCGGTTTGTGACGGTCATGCAGGCAAGCGGAAAATAGGGGGCGATTGGAAGCGTGGTGGCCCAACAGGGAAAGGGGAAGGAATTGGGAAGCTAGTACCGCTTCCGGTATCCCCAGGTTGTCTCCAATTCAAGCCCTGGTGGGGACCAACATTGCTTAACTTCCGGAATCAGGGCGGTATGGCAGCAGGCACCGACAGGTTGTCCCAGGGGCCCCCGAAGCTGCCATGGCCGGCCCATAAAAGGGAGTTGTGGGCTGTGCTCAATGTCAGTTATTAGCAGAGAAAGGCATGTCAAAAAAAAAAAAAAGCTACAAGCGATCAGCTCACTACTGTTAGAATGATTTTTATTAAAATAAAATGTTGGCATTGATGAGGGAATGCTTGCACACTGTTGGTTTTAATGTAATGAGGACAGCCATTATAAAAAACAAAAGAGATCTCACAAAAACACATAAAATCAAACTAGGCCGGGCGTGTTGGCTCACGCCTATAATCCCATCACTTTGGGACTCCAAAAAGGGCGGATCACAAGGTGAGGAGTTCAAGACCAGCCTGGCCAATATGGTGAAACCCCCGTCTCAAACAAAATAAAACTATTATATAATACAAGAATTTCAATACTAGACATATATTCACAAGATCAGGATGAGAACCATTTGCAGTTCTATGATGTTCGCAGCACTCCTCACAATAGCCAAAATACAGTCAATAGTTTGACATCTAATGAGTAAATAAAGACAATGTGGCATACGTACACATTTGAATACTATTGTTTTTTTTGAGACAGAGTTTCGCTCTTGTTACCCAGGCTGGAGTGCAATGGTGCGACCTCGGCTCACCGCAGCCTCCACCTCCTGGGTTCAGGCAATTCTCCTGCCTCAGCCTCCTGAGTAGCTGGGATTACAGGCACACGTCACCATGCCCAGCTAATTTTTTGTATTTTTAGTAGAGATGGGGTTTCACCATGTTGACCAGGATGGTCTCGATCTGTTGACCTCATGATCCACCCACATCGGCCTCCCAAAGTGCTTGGATTACAGGCTTGAGCCACCACGCCCAGCTGAATACTATTGTTTTTTATAAAAGAAAATTATATTTCTTCCAATAACATGGATTAATCTGGAGAATACTATATTAGTTTAAATAAGCCAGACACAGAATGAATATCATAATATCACTTACACATGAATTCTAAAAAAGTCTTATTGCTGTAGAAAATAAAGTGGTGAATACCAGTTGCCATATTTAGAAGAAATGGGGGAGTTGGAAAGCAAAGAACATATTATATTTGAATAGGAGGAAGTAAGTTCAAAAGATTTATCATACACCACAGTGACTATAGTTCATTATAATGTATTTGTTTCTTTATTTTGATCTGCATCTTCTTGCATCTGATTTTTAAATATGTTAAGACAATGTGAGCTCACAACAAAAAATGTTAACTATGAGGTGAGGCATTAATTACCTATAATCATGTAAAATGTATACCTACTTCAAAATATTGTTTTGCAGGATAAATATGCATTTTATCTATCAACTTGAAAAATATATTTTTTAGCTGGGCATGCTCACTCATGCTTGTAATCCCAGGCCAAGGAGGGCAGACCACTTGAGGTCAGGAGTTCAAGAGCAGCCTGGTTAACATGGTGAAACCATATCTCTACTAAAAATAGAAAACTTAGCCAGAAGTGGTGGCACATGCCTGAAGTCCCAGCTACTCAGAAGGCTGAGGCAGGAGAATTGCTTAAACCCAGGAGGTGGAGGCTGCACTGCACTCCAGGCTGGGGGACAGAGAGAAACTCTTTCTCTGCACCTGTAATCCCAGCTACTTGAGGTTGGGGCATGAGAATTGCTTGACCATGAAATGCAGAAGTTTTAGTGAGCTGAGACAGTGCAACTGCACTTCAACCTGGGTGACACAGCAAGTGTGTGTGCGTGTGTGTGTGAATAACAATGTTTCAAATACTGTGCCTTTGCCATAAAAGGCTAAATAGCGGGGCGCGGTGGCTCACACCTATAATCCCAGCACTTTGGGAGGCCAAGGCGGGTGGATCACGAGGTCAAGAGATCGAGACCATCCTGGTCAACATGGTGAAACCCTGTCTCTACTAAAAATACAAAAACTTAGCTGGGCATGGTGGCGCGCGCCTGTAATCCCAGCTACTCGGGAGGCTGAGGCAGGAGAATTGCCTGAACCCAGGAGGCGGAGGCTGCGGTGAGCCGAGATTGCGCCATTGCACTCCAGCCTGGGTAACAAGAGAGAAACTCCATCTCAAAAAATAAATAAATAAATAAAATAAAGGGCTAAATAGTATAAAAAAGTATATAGTGGTTTTTTTTTGCTGTTTTTGTCATTTTGTTTGTGAGCCATGACCACAGGAACTCTGATATTTAACAGCACTTTCTGGACCCAGCAGAGTTTATGGGAAGAGCCAATGTACGTTACAGCTTTTACTTCAAGCATGGGCACCTGGAGTTTCTGTTGCTGATGGTAATAGTATAAAAACACTAAAAGGTGCAGGTGTTGCTTATGGTCCCATTACTGGCCACTCCGTAAACATGATAAACTAGATTTTATGCAAAATGGAAAATATTTTAATCCAAATGCAGCCATATTCTCCAAAAGTTTTCCAGAGAAAATGACCAAGTGGTTGACTACAGTTAGGTGACTAAGAATAAATACAGTAGACTAGGAAAAAAAAGTGAAGTGAGAAATTCCTCCAAATAGGAATAACATAAAAAATGTATTATATCAAATTTCAGATCCACAGAGGCCATTGTATTATTTTGCCAGCTTTAACATTCACACTTAAAAACTGAAGACTTTTCTACAGAAACACAAGTTGTGCTGTAAGTTTATTATAAAAAATTAAATTTGAAATGTTCACTTACAGTCAACTCTTACAAATTAAATTTCTGAGATATATATTTTTGGCACACTATATTTTTCACACTTTGTGTCAGAATCTAATAAGGTCTTTATTTAATAAATAAAACCATGCTAATTGATATATATTCTTATCACTTGTGCAAAGTGTATGTCTTTTATTTTAATTAACTGATCTGAAAGTTATACTGATAAGCAAACTCTCTAGTTAAATCCAGTTTTTCAGTGCATTAAAACATACCAACTTTCTCATCAGAATGTACAAATTACCATGCAAAATGACATGGCATGTAGACAACAGTGAGAAACCTGTAGCCATAATAGAACAAGAAAAACAGGCTGTGATGCGGACATAGTTAGAATGAACATAAAAAGTGGGAGGGGGGGATTAAAGCAGCAGAATTTCTCTTTAAATTCAGCAAGATTCAGCTTTGCAGCCTGCAAAACAATGTCCTCTTAACATGGAAAAAATTTGTTATATCTTTATTATTATTATTTTTTGAGACAGAGTCTTGCTCTATCACCCAGTCTGGGGTACAATGGTGCAATATTGGCTCACTGCAACCTTGCCTCCCAGGTTCAAACAATTCTCATGGCTCAGCCTCCAAAGTAGCTGTTATTACAGGAACTGGCCATCACGCCTCACTTATTTTTGTAGAGCTAGGGTGTTGATATTGAATTCCTGACCTTCGGTAATCTACCTACCTTGACCTCTCAAAGTGTTGGAATAGGCATGAGCCACCAAGCCTGGCCGATATTTTCTATTTCTGACTCAAAGTTACAAACTAATTTCTGCAGAAATACTTTTGCCTTATTATGAAGCATCTGTTACACAGCAAGCACTGCCATGTTTGTTGGATATACAGATAAAAACATTTTCATGACTTCTGAAGCTTCCCTAGTACTTACCTGAACAAATTGACTCAATAAATAAATTTGCTTGTCAATTATAAATTAAAAAATAAATAAATAAAAGTAGGCTTGGCTGGGTGTGGTGATGCACGCCTATAATCTTAGCACTTTGCAAAGATGACGTGGGTGGACTAATTGAGGTGAGGAGTTCCAGATCAACCTCGCCAACAGGGTAAAATCCTGTCTCTACTAAAAATGCCAAAAAAGCTGGGAGTGATGGCAGATGCCTGTAATCCCAGCACTTGGTAGGCTGAGGCAGGAGAATCACTTGCACTCCTACCTGGGTAACAAGAGTGAAACTCCATCTTAAAAAATAATAATAATAAGGCCGGGCGTGGTGGCTCAAGCCTGTAATTCCAGCACTTTGGGAGGCCGAGGCGGGTGGATCACGAGGTCAAGAGATCGAGACCATCCTGGTCAACATGGTGAAACCCCATCTCTACTAAGAAGATACAAAAAATTAGCTGGTCATGGTGGCATGTGCCTGTAATCCCAGCTACTCAGGAGGCTGAGGCAGGAGAATTGCCTGAACCCAGGAGGCAGAGGTTGTGGTGAGCTGAGATCACACCATTGCACTCCAGCCTGGGTAACAAGAGCAAAATTCTGTCTCAAAAAAAAAAAATAAATAAATAATAATAGTAATAATAATAGTAGGCTTATATTAAGTTTCTGCACTTAAAAGAACAAAAAAGAAATATTCTAAATAAATAAAATGATACACTAGTGGAATCACATTTGAACATTATTTTGTGTGCACTACTAAATTTCATAAAAATAATTCCTATAATCACTGACCAGCTAACATGAATTCTTTATAACCTATAAAGCAAAAATAAGAATCAAGAAAATTATGAGCCTGAGAACCAGAAAAGTAAAAACAGAATTTGCATGAAGAGATTCTGAACTGTAAGCCATAAGAATTCACAGCAATAAATTTAATATGCTTTAAGATTTATATTTTCTGAAGATCTTTTAACAGTAATTGCACTTTTAACACTTGTATTAACTCTCAGATGTTAAGATGTGGGCAGATATTAATGGTTTTGTCACATTCTTTATTTGTACAATTTGTCTCAAATACAAATTATTTTCTGTGCATTAAGGTGTAAGCATTAGTTAAAAGGTTTGTCACATTCTTCACACTTGCAGGAGTTTTCTCCAGTATAAAGTATCTTGCTTACAATTAAGTAAAACAACCATTTAAAGGCTTTGTCACATTCTTGACATTTCTAGTTCTCACCAGCATTATTTCTTTGAAGTTTAGAAAAGTGTGAGATTTGGTAAAAAGCACTGTCATATCTTTAAGGTTTGTGGTTTCCCTTTAGTATGAATTATTTTATGTCTGTTAAGAAATGAGAGTATGTCAAAGGATTTGCTACATTCTTCACATTTGTAGGGTTTTCTCCAGTATGGATTATCTTATGTCAATTAAGGGTTGAATATTGGTTAAAAGCTTTTCAACATTCTTAAGGTTTCTCTTTAGTATGTATTATATTATGTTTAGTAAGGGCTGAGGATTGGTTAAAACCTCTGCCACAGTGGTAACATTTGTAAGGTTTTTCTCCAGTATGAATTCTCTTATGTACAGTAAGGTATGAAGATAGTTTAAAAGCTTTATCACATTCTTCACATTTGTAGGGTTTCTCTCCAGTATGAATTACCTTATGTGTAGCAAGGTTTGAAGACTGGCTGAAGGCTTTGCCACATTCTTCACATTCGTAGAGTTTCTCTCCAGTATGAATTCTCTTATGTATAGTGAGGTATGAAGACAGTTTAAAAGCTTTATCACATTCTTCACATTTGTAGGGTTTCTCTCCAGTGTGAATTATCTTATGTGTAGCAAGGTTTGAGGACCGGTTGAAGGCTTTGCCACATTCTTCACATTCATAGAGTTTCTCTCCAGTATGAATTCTCTTATGTTGAGTAAGGGTTGAGGACACATTAAAGGCTTTGCCACATTCTTCACATTCGTAGGGTTTCTCTCCAGTATGAATTCTCTTATGTCGACTAAGGGATGAGGGTATATTAAAGGCTCTGCCACATTCTTCACATTTGTAGGGTTTCTCTCCAGAATGAATTCTCTTATGTCGAATAAGGTATGAGGAGAACTTAAAGGCTTTGCCACATTCTTCACATTTGTAACAATTTGCTATTGTATGATTTCGTTCATGTTGAGCTAGGTGTAAAAGCATGCAAAATGATTTGCCACATTCTTTACATTTCAGAGAATTATTTCTAGTATGTCTTATATTATGACTATTTGAACTTGAAAATGTATAAAAGCCTTTCTTTTTTTTTTTTTTTTGAGACGGAGTTTCACTGTTGTTACTCAGACTGGAGTGCAATGGCACGATCTCAGCTCACTGCAACCTCCACCTTCTGGGTTCAAGCAATTCTCCTGCCTCAGCCTCCCGAGTAGCTGGGACTACAGGTACGCACCACCATGCCCAGCTAATTTTTGTATTTTTAGTAGAGATGGGGTTTAACCTTGTTGACCAGGATGGTCTCCATCTCTTGACCTTGTGATCCACCCGCCTCGGCCTCCCAAAGTGCTGGGATTATAGGCGTGAGCCACCGCACCCAGCCGAAAGCCTTTCACATATTAATCACATTTAAATATTTTGCTCAGGGTAGTTGTCAAATATTGCTTATGTTCATTATAACCTACTTGATATATCTTACATTCATCCACATTTTCACAGCCTTTTCTTAATTGTAAATTGTCATGTACATATTTTGCATGCCTTCTCAGTATTACTTTTTGGAAAGAATCTTTTATGCCCTGCTCTGGCCAAAGGTCTAGGGCAAAATGAGAACACACAACTGAAAAAAGTAAAAATAACAAATTACCTCACTTACTAGACTCAAATTTAAGCTATAAAATTATACAAATGACATAAGCAAGATGGCATAGCAAAATACCACAGGCCATAATTACTTCATGGACACATAAATATAACAAGAACATACGAACAAAAATATATTTATGGAAAATTTATAAATGAATTAAGTATGTGCAGTGCCACGAGTACGCACACTGCAAAGAGCCTAATAGAATAAAGACAAAAGTTTGTCACATCTACCCAAAACACCATTTCCTGCTCCCCAACATAGCAAAGAGCCTTTATAAGTAAATTGTAAACAACTGAATTTTTTTTAAATACAAATAAAATACTGGCCGATACATCTTCATTTCTATCTTCTAGGAGCTTTTCTAGACACTGGTTTTTGTCTCCAGTGACATAAAGTGCTAAAAGAACTGTTCACGTACTTTGGAATGACACTTTGAGTCTGCTGAGACTAAAGGTAAATGTTATAGCAGCAGAGAAACTGCAGTGCCACAGACAGGGAACAGGTGTAGCAAGTGATGACTATAAAGAAGAAACATGAATAAACTCCTTCAATTAGAAAGCAAACACAAAATTCAGACAAGACACATCATAACAACCTCTTTAACAGACTCCAAAAATCTCTAACCAAGACAAGTGTTTTCAGACTATGCCATAAACATTGTGACAGGCAGCTTTTATTAATGTCTAAATCTCAAAGATTACAATGTACAGAACTTAGGGCACTACAGTCCCATCAAGAATATTATAAATTTTTCAGAAAGAAATTACACGAAAGATCTATATTATTTTTAAAAATTGAAAATAAATTGAGTAATGCTCAAAGAGTGAAACAGAAACACAGACAACTACAGAAAAACAGGATAATGAAAGTATTAAAACATCAAAAAAAAACGACAGAAATTGTGAAGGTAAAAAGTACAAAAAGAAATTATATCTAAAAGAAAAGATAAAATAAAAAAAAAGCTTAACAAAGAAACTAGAATATGCACAAAGATATTTATAGCATACACATATATAAGAACATTTTAAAACTCATAGACAAAATGACAATCTTGGAAACTGCAAGAAAAAAAGTGATGTATCACTTACAAGCATAATCTTTCAGATAACTGGTCAACTGTCAACATAAATTTTGCAGGCCAAAAGTGAACTATGTGATATAGTCAAAGCCCTGAAAAAATATCTATCAAGTGAGAATAACATGATCAGCAAATCTGTCCTGCCAAAAATAAAAAAATAAATAAATAATTTTTTAAAATATCCAAAGTAATCAAATTCCAAAAAAATATATTGGCACTGCATGTGCCCTACGTATAAAGATGCAGAAATAAGTTTCTTCCACTGAAAATAAAACAATTCAAGAAAATAATGGCCAGGCACAGTGGCTTATGCCTGTAATCCCAGCACATTGGGAGGCTGAGAGGTGCAGATCATGAGGTCAGAAGATTGAGACCATCCTGGCCAACATGGTGAAACCCTATCTCTTCTAAAATACAATAAAATCAGCTGGGCATGGTGGCATGCGCCTATAGTCCCAGCTCCTTCGGAGGCTAAGGCAGGAGAATTGCTTGAACCTGGGAGGCAGAGGTTGCAGTGAGCCTAGATTGTGCCACTGAACTCCAGCCTAGTGACAGACTGAGACTTAGAGACTCCATCTCAAAAAAAAACAATAATAATTACGCAGGCGGGGTGTGGTGACTCATGCCTGTAATGCCAGCACTTTGGGAGATTGAGGTGCATGGATCACCTGAGGTAAGGAGTTCAAGACCAGCCTGGCCAACATGGCAAAAACCCATCCCCACTACAAATAAAAAAAATCAGCCAGGTGGGGTGATGTGCACTTATAATCCCAGCTACTCAGGAGGCTGAGGAAGGAGAATTGCTTGAACCTGAAAAGTGGAGGTTGCAGTGAGCCCAGATTGCACTACTGTACTCCAGCCTGGGTGACAGAGCAAGACCCTGTCTCCAAAAAAAAAAAAAAAAAGGTAGTAACACAACATACTCATATAAAAATACATTATTTTCTGGGAAAGATATGTACATACACAAAAATGAAATGTCTTACCATTGTTGTAATGGTACAGAAAACATTCTTAATTCTACAAAATTTAAAGTAATTCTAGAGAATAATACAGAAATTAAAAATGGAGGCCAGGCACGGTGGCTTATGCCTGCAATCCCAGCACTTTAGGAGGCCGAGGTGGGCGGACCACAAGATCAAGAGATCCAGACTATCCTGGCCAACATAGTGAAACCCCATCTCCACTAAAGTACAAAAATTAGCTGGGCATGGTGGTGTGTGCTTGTAGTCCCAGCTACTCAGGAGGCTGAGGCAGGAGAATTGCAAGGAGGTGGAAGTTGCAGTGAGCTGAGATCACACCACTGCACTCCAGCCTGGCTCCTGGCACCAGAGTGAGACTCTGTCTCAAAAAAAAAAAGAAATAAAAAATTGGCAGAAGAATTTTTGTATTCAACTGCAGTACATTTTTTACTCTATTAAAATATATTCTTATATCTTTTAGAAGTTTTCTATAATCCTCAAGGTATTGCAAAGAATATGTGTTTAGATAATCAAAACAAACTAAGAAAGAAGTAAAAGCATTTTAATACAAAAAGGAAACATACACAAAAGTGGACAGAAAGAGAGAAAATGAGGGACAAAGATGCAAGAATCAAATAAAACAATTTAAAAATTGTTTTTCTGTTTCAAAAACTTCTTTAAATATATATACAATTAACTTTCCAATTAATAGACATACCTTCAATTAAAATATTTATTTAAAAAATCTTAAAACTCAAAATCCAACTTGTTTTTCTGCAAGAGTCACCTGACATCTAGTGATAAGAAAGATTGAAGTGACAAAATGGAACAAGACATTCTATGCAGATATTAACCAAATGAGAGCAGAAGAGATCAAAAGAATATTACATGAGCTATATCTTAAGTCAAAAACTGACATTTTATAAAATGTATTCTAAGTAAAAACTAAAAGGAGACAAGGAAATTAAACAATAATAGTTTCATTTACTGGAAACATAAAAACTTGAAGGTAGTATAAAACACTTATTTCTAAAAGGAGTATACAGAACACTCCTGAACAACATCAGGATACACATCCTTCTCAGTAGCTCATGTGGCCAGGCGTGATGGCGGTTGCCTGTAATCTTAGCACTTTGGGAGGCTGAAGCAGGTAGATCACCTAAGGTCAGGAGTTGGAGACCAGCTGGCCAACATGGTGAAACCCGATCTCTACTAAAAATACTAAAAATTGCCAGGCGTGATGGCAGGTACCTCCAATTTCAGTTACCTGGAAGGCTGAAGCAAGAGAATCACTTTAACCCAGAGACAGAGGTTGCAGTGAATCGAGATTGTGCCACTGCACTCCAGCCTCGGGGACACAGCAAGATTTGGTCTCAAAAAAAATTTTTAAATGTTTAAAAAGCTTATATAACATTCTCATTTAAAAAGTCTTTTTTTTTTTTTTTTTTTTTTGAGACAAAGTTTCACTCTTGTTACCCAGACTGAAGTGCAATGGCGCGGCGATCTCGGCTCACCACAACCTCCGCCTCCTGGGTTCAAGCAATTCTCCTGCCTCAGCCTCCCGAGTAGCTGGGACCACAGGCGCACACCGCCATGCCCAGCTAATTTTTGTATTTTTAGTAGAGACAAGGTTTCACCAAGTTGACCAGGATGGTCTCGATCTCTTGACCTCGTGATCCACCCGCCTTGGCCTCCCAAAGTGCTGGGATTATAGGCATGAGCCACTGCGCCCAGCCTAAAAAAAGTCTTAACAAATTTTTTTAAAACAAAATTTTTATGGGTTACTTCAGATGACCAAAATAGAAGGAGGACATAAAACAGTAATAGAAAAAAAAAACCTGAACAATTTACAAATACATAAAAATTAAAGCACACATCTGTTCAAAAATTGAAATAATTAATATTTTCAAGATGTCCATGCTTCTCAATGTAATTTACAGATTTAATAAAATTTTTTTAAAATTTCTCACTGCATTTTTGAAGAAATATAAACAGCAATATCAAAAGTATATATAATCTCAAGAGAAAATAAAATAGCTAACAGTCTTCAAAAACAGAAACAATGTTGAAGGCATTACAGTTTCTGATTTCAAAATACAATACAAATCTACAGAATTAAAACAATTTACCCGGGGCGCGGTGGCTCACGCCTATAATCCCAGCACTTTGGGAGGCTGAGGCAGGTGGATCACAAGGTCAAGAGATTGAGACCATCCTGGTCAACAAGGTGAAACCCCGTCTCTACTAAAAATACAAAAATTAGCTGGGCATGGTGGTGTGCAC